TTGCTATTTCATATATTTTTGTCCTACTAAGTTAGCATACATCCTTAACCACTACTCATCCGGCCCATGTAAGTAAATGGCCAGACAGAAGCAGCACCAATGCGAGTTAATGTACCTGCACGTTCCTCCATATTAAAGGCTTCTGCGTGACCCACAGAGTATGCACCTGGAAGCCTGATGATAGCTGTGTCCCCCCAGACACAGCAGATCACATTACTGCTATGTCCGGGTGATCACATGGTCTTGTACCATGTGACTGCTGTATTCAATCACAGCAATCACATGGTAAACATTGAACCAAAAAGTAAATAACAATTCTCTCTGCTCTTACAGAAATCAGCTGTGAGAGCAGAGACAACCATTACTTCAGCCTGTGAGTGTACATTTCCTGTCACACTGTATGTACACTCACAGACTGCAGTGCCAGCCCCAGTACCAGCGATCTGATAACTGCCATATACCATACCAGTGATCTAATCATTGCCATACCCCATACCAATATCCTGATCACTGCCATACCCCATACCAACATCCTTATCACCAGAATATGCCATACCAATGTCCTGATCACTGTTATATGCCATACCAGTTCCCTGATCACCCCCATATCCCATTCCAACTCCCTGACCACTGCCATACTCCAAGTCCTGATTACCACCATACACCAAACCAGCATCCTGATCACTGTCATCCACCATACCAATGTTATCACTGCCATATGTCTTACCAATGTCTCGATCCCTGCCATACCTCATTCCAGCATCCTGATCACTGCCATAGCCCATATCAGCATCCTAATCACTGCCATACCCTATACTAGTGTCCTGATCACTGCCATGCACCATACCGGTATCCTAAGCACTATCATATGCCATACCAGCATCCTGATCACTGCCATACCCCATATCAGCATCCTGATCATTGCTATACCCTATACTAGTGTCCTGATCACTGCCATGCACCATACCAGTATCCTGCTATGGTGCATGGCACTATCATATGCCATACCAGCATCCTGATCACCTCAATACCCCATACCACCATCCTGATCACCACAGTACCAGTGTCGTGATCACCGCCGTACGCCATACAAGCATCCTGATCAGCGCCATACCCTATACCAGCATCCTGATCACCACCATATCCAATATCGGCATCCTAATCACTGCCATACCAGTGCCCTGATCATTATCATATCAGTGTCCTGATCACTGCATACTATCATCCTGACCATCATACCAGAACCAATGTCAGCAAAACTAGTGTCCACAATTATTTCCATGGTCCTGGTGCTCCAGGGCCTCCAAAAATGTGATAGTCAGGAAATTAGATACGTAATTTATGTCCCTAGAACACCTTAAGGTGCTTCTTGGACATCGGCCCCTCTGTGTGGCTAGGCTGTTAAAAAGTCTCACATATGTGGTATCTTTATACTGAGGAGAAGTAGTAGAACATGTTTTGTGATGGTATTCTAAGTATGCCCATGCTGTGTATGAGAAATAACCTATTAAGCTAACAACTTTGTGTAAAATATTTCATTTTCATTTTCTTTAAGCAGTTTCCAAAAATGTGTTGCAAAAAATTGAAGCCTTTAAAAGACTCATCACGCCTCCTACAGAAATACATTGGGGTGTTTACTTTCCAAAATTGGATCATTTTGTGGGTGTTTCTATTTTCCTGGTGCTCCAGGGACTCCAAAAATATGATAGGTAGTCAGGAAATTAGATGTGTAATTTATGTCCCTAGAACGCCTGAAGGTGCTTCTCGGTTTTTGGGCCCCTCTGTGTGCCAAGGCTCTGAAAAGGTCTCACATTTGTGATGTCTCCACACTTGGGTTGAGTAGCAGAATGTGTTGTGGTGTGTATTTCTAGGTATGTCTATGCTGTGTGTTAGAAATATCTTGTTCAAATTACATCTTTGTAGAAAAAAAAAATGTATTTTCAAAAAAACTATGACAGCTTTGTGTAAAAAAATACATTTCCATTTTATTTCCTACATTTTCCAGAAAATTGTGGCAAAAAATTACATTTTCAAAAGACTCATTATGCTTTTCAGAAAATACCTTGGAGTGTTTGCTTTCCAAAATGGGGTCATTTTGTTGGTGCTTCCACTGTCCTGATGCTCTAGGGCCTCCAAAATTGGAATAGGCAGCCAGGAAATTGGATGTGTAATTTATGGGTAATTTATGCTCCTGGAACTCCTGAAGGTGTTCTGTGGATTTTGGTTCTCTTTATGCATTTAGGCTGTGAATAAGTCTCCAATATGTGGTATCCTCATACTCAGGAGGCATAACAGAATGTGTTTACCATTTAATTGTAAGTATGCCCATGCTCTGTGTGAGAAATAACTTATTCAAATTACATCTTTGTGAAAAAAAAATATTTATTTAAAAAAACCATGACAAAAAAAAAAAATGGCAACTTTAAAGAACTCACCATGCCTCCTGTGGAATACCTTGAACTGTCTCCTTTCCAAATAGGGGTAATTTGGGGCATATTTGTACTGTCCTGGCATTTTAGGGCCTCAGGAAATGAGATAGGCAGTCAGTACATCATGACTGATCAATTTTCAAACAATATATACCATAGTTTGTAGGCTCAATAACTTTCACACGGACTAAATATTATACATTGTTTTTGGTTATATTTACCAAAAAGGTAGCATAATACATTTTGGCCTAATTGTATGAAGAAAGATTATTTCTTAAAATTGTAAAACAAAAACTAAGAAAAACATTATTCTTTCAAAATTTTTGGTATTTTCTCAATTAACAAAAAATGTAAAAAAAAAACAGCGGTGATTAAATACCACCAAACAAAAGCTCTATTTGTTTCAAAAAATGCAAAAATATCAGCACAGTGGCTAAATGGTTAGCACTTCCGCCTGGCAGTACTAGGGTTGTTGGTTTGAATCGCAATCATGCCACCACCTGCCTGGGGTTTGCATGTTCTCCCTGTGCCTACGTGGGTTTTCTATGGGTACTCTTGTTTCCTCCTGCACTCCAAAGACATGCTGGTAGGTTAATTGGATCCTGTCTAAATTGGTCCTAGTATGTGTATGTATGAATGTAAGTTAGTGACTTTTGATTGTAAGCTCCTTGAAGGTTAGGGACTGATGTGAATGTACAATATATATGTAAAGCCCTGCGTAAATTGACGTGCTATATAACTACCTATAATAATAATGTAATAATTTGGGTACAATGTTGCATGCGTGAGTAATTACCATTCACAGTGTGATGGTGAGTAAAGCTGAAAACTAGCCTGGACTGGAAGGGGTTGAAAATGTCCTCCCTAGATAAACAAGCATTAAATTCTGCATACAGTATGCTGGGGGTGCATTTTTGGGACACCCCAGGACTCCACTTAAACACTATATAATTTATGATTTCAGGACTCATTGCTATGCCTTTATAGGCTGTAATGGTTATTCTTAACTGTAATTCACATTCATTCTATTAATTATGTGTATTTTTTTTCTTTACATTTCTAGTGACAAATTTAAATAAAATCAATATGTATGTGTTTATGATCCATTTTATTATCAGTTGTACTGTTTGTCATGTGTTATATATTTTATGTGATCATTTTATAGTAACTTAGCCATCCTTGTCTTGTAAATTTGCAAGAAACTAATGCAACACTTATTAAACTCCAGAAGATGAAGATGTATGTTAACACACTGAATGAACATTTGCCCAGGGCTGCCTTCTGGGGCAGTAGTCAAGAATAGAAGAGAAGTCAGTATACAGTGTATTATGCTCTTTGAACTACCGCTATAACAAGTCTATTAAAACCAACAGAGAGTGAAAGCTTGCTGCTTAGCAGTACTGCCCCCATTGTTACATGAAGTTAGACAAACAAAACCCTGACAGAGAAACTGCTTGTGAATTGTATTAAACCAAACTGACACACTTTACAAAACTAGCATGTTCACAATAGTCAATTACAAGTCATCAGTCCAGTAAATATAAGCAAGTAGCATGAAATTCACTCCAGTGGCAGTTTTACCCATCCACTGCCATGTTCCTGTTTGCTGAATATAGATCTGACAGTCTGTCATTTTTTTATTTCCACTAATTCCCACTAATTGTGGGCCACCTTTAACCACTTCCAGTCTGGACACTTTTACCCCCTTCCTGACCAGGGCAATTTTCAGCGCCATCACACTTTGAATGACAATTGCGCGATCATGCAACACTGTAACCATATGAATTTTGAACCATTTTTTTGAGAGAGATAAAACTTTATTTTGGTAGTATTTATTCACCGCTGGGATTTTTTTTTTTTTTGCTATGTAAATGAAAATGTCCAAAAATTTTGAAAAAGTGTTTTTCTTATAAAATTTTGCAAATAAATAATATTTCATCATCAATCTTGGCCAAAATTTATTCCGTTATCTTTTTAGTAAAAAAAAAATAAGCCAAATTAGTTTATAACCAAAAATTATAATTTTTAAACATTTTTGTTTACATTGTTATTTATTTTTTTTATAGTATTTATTTTATTTTATTTTTTTTACATACTGTCACCCTAGCAGTACAGTGTCACCATGGTGACACTGTACTACTTTTGGGGGGTGATGAAGATTTTTTTTTTTTTTGTACACGGATTGCTTTTACACCCATATAGGATGTAAAAGCAATAATTTCTCTTTCTCTCTGTCTGCATTCTTGCAGCCATTGAGAACTACTGAGTGAGCTGTGATTGGTCACAGCTTGTCACATGGTACAAGGCTGTTGTGAATAGCCTTGTACCATGTGAACTCTGTGATCATTCTCAGATTTCACACATACGTAAGCAATGATATCAGAAGTGACATCTTGCTTACTACTTTGCATGGGATCACTGATTGGCCAATCAGTGATCACATGATCGGGACCTCGTACAGAGGTCCCGTCCAATGATTGGTGTTTCACTGTGTCCGGAGGACAGAGCGGGCACCGGATCGTGGTGTGCGCTCCCGGGGAGTGTGCATAAGCAGGGTGTGGGGAGGCCATTTATAAACGGCCACCCAACCCTGCAGTGCCACCGTCCGGCCGTTTATATACAACGGCCGGTCGGGAAGTGGTTAAGAATTTTGACCAGGGATACAGATTGGTATTGGTAAAGGAAGAGGGTCAGGGAACATGCAGGACCCTGTTAATTTATGTCAAATAAGTCTGTTAAAATCAAGGAGGTTTTTCACAAAGAAGGAGCAAGAAAAAGTGGATATTACTGGGATTAGGCTTGATGCTCGAGTCAAACATACAGTCAGGTCCATAAATATTGGGACATCGAGACAATTCTAAAATTTTTGGCTCTATACACCACCACAATGGATTTGAAATGAAACTAACAAGATGTACTTTAACTACAGACTGTCAGCTTTAATTTGACGGTATTTACATCCAAATCAGGTGAACGGTGTAGGAATTACAACAGTTTGCATATGTGCCTCCCACTTGTTAAGGGACCAAAAGTAATGGGACAATTGGCTTCTCAGCTGTTCCATGGCCAGGTGTGTGTTATTCACTCATTATCCTATTACAATGAGCAGATCAAAGGTCCAGAGTTAATTTGAAGTGTGCTATTTGCATTTGGAATCTGTTGCTGTCAACTCTCAAGATGAGATCCAAAGAGCTGTCACTATCAGTGAAGCAAGCCATCATTAGGCTGAAAAAACAAAACAAACCCATCAGAGAGATAGCAAAAACATTAGGCGTGGCCAAAACAACTGTTTGGAACATTCTTAAAAAGAAGGAACGCACTGTTGAGCTCAGCAACACCAAAAGACCCGAAGAAGACCACAGAAAACAACTGTGGCGGATGACCAAAGAATTCATTCCCTGGTGAAGAAAACACTCTTCACAACAGTTGGCCAGATCCAAGAACACTCTCCAGGAGGTAGGTGTATGTGTGTCAAAGTCAACAATCAAGAGAAGACTTCACCAGAGTGAATACAGAGGGTTCACCACAAGATGTAAACCATTGGTGAGCCTCAAAAACAGGAAGGCCAGATTAGAGTTTGCCAAACGACATCTAAAAAAGCCTTCACAGTTCTGGAACACATCCTATGGACAGATGAGACCGAGATCAACTTGTACCAGAGTGATGGAAGAGAAGAGTATGGAGAAGGAAAGGAAACTGCTCATGATCCTAAGCATACCACCTCATCAGTGAAGCATGGTGGTGGTAGTGTCATGGCGTGGGCATGTATGGCTGCCAATGGAACTGGTTCTCTTGTATTCATTGATGATGTGACTGCTGACAAAAGCAGCAGGATGAATTCTGAAGTGTTTCGGGCAATATTATCTGCTCATATTCAGCCAAATGCTTCACAACTTATTGGACGCCGCTTCACAGTGCAGATGGACAATGACCCAAAGCATACTGCAAAAGCAACCAAAGAGTTTTTTTAGGGAAAAGAAGTGGAATGTTATGCAATGGCCAAGTCAATCACCTGACCTGAATCCGATTGAGCATGCATTTCACTTGCTGAAGACAAAACTGAAGGGAAAATGCCCCAAGAACAAGCAGGAGCTGAAGACGGTTGCAGTAGAGGCCTGGCAGAGCATCACCAGGGATGAAACCCAGCATCTGGTGATGTCTATGCATTCCAGACTTCAGGCTGTAATTGACTGCAAAGGATTTGCAACCAAGTATTAAAAAGTGAAAGTTTGATGTATGATTATTATTCTGTCCCATTACTTTTGGTCCCTTAACACGTGGGAGGCACATATGCAAACTGTTGTAATTCCTACACCGTTCACCTGATTTGGATGTAAATACCCTCAAATTAAAGATGACAGTCTGCAGTTAAAGCACATCTTGTTAGTTTCATTTCAAATCCATTGTGGGGGTGTATAGAGCCAAAAATGTTAGAATTGTGTTGATGCCCCAATATTTATGGACCTGACTGTAAGTTTGACTCAAACATCAGCCATTCCTGTGTTCAGTGAACACATGAACAGTATGAGCATTCGGCGCACTTTTTGCCCGCTGAGCCCCACAATGCACTGCGCCCTGACAGTGTATTGTGATTGGCCAAAGCAATGCAACTGACCACAGGTCAGGTGCAATGCTTTCGCCAGTCACAGTGAATGATGATGTCACAAGGGGGTGGGGCCACCTAGTGACATCAGCAGGGTGACCCTGCCCCCTTGTGGCATCATCGCAGTATCTAGGAACTGTCAGGCCGGGAGCCAGAGCACAGAGCAGAGCTTTTTCTTTTTTCAGGTCAGCGGTCATGATTGACGTTGGATCTACTTCGGGGGACATTTTTTTTAGTTTTTGTTTTTAATAAAGGACTTGTTAAAGACTGTCTTCTGTAATTTTTTTACACTATACTTTTTTTTGTGTGTGTTACTGAGTAGCAGTACCATGTACCCCATACTCATTCACATAGGGGGGGAAGGATCTGGGGTCCCCCACAGTCGTGGGGAAGAGGCCCTTGTCCCCATCAACATGGGGACAAGATGCTTTGGGCCCCTCCTGCCACAAAGCACCCTCCCTATGTTAAGGGCATGTGGGCATGTGACCTCATATGGTTTGGGGAGGAAGGTGCTTGTTCATCCCCTCTTTCCTGACCTGCTGCATGTTCGGATAAGGATCTGGTATAGATTTTGAGGAGGACCCCATTTTTCTTTTAAATTTTGGTGTGGAGTTCCCCTCAAAATCCTTATCAGACCTGAAGGGCTTGGCACGTATGGGGGGGTCCCCACGTCATTTAAAAAAAAACAAATTTAATTGATTGAAATTCTTTTTACATTCAGCTGTCAGCGGGGAACTGACAGCTGAAACATTAAAGAATATTTTCACTATTAAAATACCGCATGGCTTAATAATATAACTCTTGCGGTATTTTAGTAGCTGTACGTTATCTTATCACATACTCGGGTGCGGTAAGATACGGCTTAGTGAAATGTCCCTTTTCGAAGTTCAAGGTTAAACTTTTGTTAGGTTCGAATGTTCCACCGGGAACCGAGAAGGGGAGTGTTTGGCCCATCACTAGGTACTACCCAAATACTGCTTGACGTTCTTGAAGTTTTCCTGTTAATATTGGTTTCTGTAAGCTTGTTTGACATTGTAAGCTGGCTTGATATTTAAACTGATTTACTACAGGAGCTGCGAATCTTCACTAAAGTATATGGATATTCACATCAATATTTCAGTCGGGTGAAAAGCAAATTCTGGTTTAATTAACAATTATTATTAATATTAATTGTGTGTGGATTCTCAACTCCTTTATTGAATCAGCCTCAGTGTATTGCTTGCCTTCGAGCTTGTAAACATGAAATTGTGAAAGGATTTATTACCAATACAAAGTTTTGTCTAAAATTGAAACCCATTGAACAGAGTTTGTCCATTGCAAACAATAAATCCTAAAATAAGGGATATAGAACTATTCTAGGTCTTTTTTTTTTTTCCACCACGATCCACTATATACCCTTGAAAAAGATTATTACCATGATCTGGAATTATTTTTAGTTGATTAAGATTTTTTATTTTATTTATAAAAACAAGATAGGGACAGGTGAGTGCCCCCCCCCCCTCCCCATTTCTTCCTCTTAAGGTCCCTTTCTTTTGGGTAACTAACCCATTGGCAAAAGGCATATGTGAATTTGTCAATATAACAGAAACTCAGTAGCTCTTTTTCTATAGGCCATACAGCAAGGAGGGTAGTGTTTGATGAAAGAAGGTAGCCATTTAACAATGATGCATTTCTTATATCTGCAGTTTTGCTACAATTTAACCCAATTTGCTTTTAATTTCTGTCTAATTTTTTGCTGTAAATTAAAAATCTTATAATCCTTAACATATAATATGGCTTGTGAATTGTATTAATAGTATGTTAGAAAAGCACAGGGATCATTACTAATGCATGTTTTATTTGCCAACTCTTAGTAATTTAATGCCAATGGTTTATAGCCTAGCTGGAGATTTAGCAAGCCTCATCTTATCGCATGTAATATCAAGTACATTCACCTGTCATTCACTGTGTGTCTCTACATTCCTTGGATCTTCAGGACAGTGTTTAGTCTATATTTGAATTATTTATTATTTATTTATTGCAGGTACTTATATAGCTCCATCAATTTACACAGCGTTTTACATATATTGTACATTTTCATCAGTCGCTAACCTCAAGGAGCATACAATCTAAGATCCCTATCTCACATTCATATATACACATGCTAGGGCCAATTTAGACAGGATACAATTAACCTACCAGCATGACTTTTGGAGTGTGGGCGGAAACCTGTAGGAAACACATGCAGGCACAGGGAGAACATGCAAACTCCAGGCAGGTCACGCTGTGGTTGGGTACAGGGGTGGACTGACCATTCGAGCACTCGGGGAGTGCCCGAGAGCCCGGGATCAGAAAAGCCCGTTACCTTTTTTATAGCCTTTTTCTGTGTGCTTTGAGTGTGGGCAAGGACACGGGTCCCATGATCCCCTATTGCCCGGGGGCCCCATGAGTTGTCAGTCCGCCCCTGGTTGGGTAGTCTACAGAAAACTAATCTTGACAAAGTGAGCCATGACATAAAAAATAGTAAGTGGTGCCATAATTGCACTAGTCCTGATTCACACTAGAAAGTGGTGTGGGAATCCCCGATCTCTGTGCATTTCCTACACCGCAATCAAAATGCTCTGCCCTTGCCATCCGCAGCAGATGTCAGTGTAATCTTAGTGACACCCCAAACACAGGTTGCAAATGCAGTGCGCTTGCCCACACCCGATGACAGGGTGCAAAACTACCAAGCAATCTGGTTGGAGTGAGTTTCTAAAAGTAGCGCATGCAATACTTTGGTGCAATGCAGTGTGTTTTGAGCCCATTCAAATCTACTTACTGTACATTCTGTGCACTTGGACCATAGACTGACATTTGTACAGAAATACAAGCTATACATAGACAAAGTTAGTTTCTGTTTTCTACAATTAAATTCTTGTAAAATAAATTAGCAAGAGGTTTTTGAATTTGCTGTTAGTTTGAAAGATTGGATACATAGTAATTGGCTTTTTTGTGGATCATTGCATTTCTTCATTTTCCTAATAGAATTCTGTTGTATAGAAGCTGAATATAAATG